TTTCTTTCCTTTTCTTTTTTCCTGTTTTGTTTTCTTCCTTCCTTCCTTCCTCCCTCCCTCCCTCTCTCTCTCTCTCTTTCTTTCTTTCTTAGCAGTCATTTAGTCTCTGCTCTCTGAAACAGCTCCATGAGGATTTGGACTTCTGCGATGTCCCACAGCAAAGAAAATAATTCCATTTAGCTAATCCATATAAACAGTGGCAGTGAAGCCAATTCTCTCTTTTAAGAGCTTATCAAACAATAAAATTACTTCCAGAAATTCATGATAGGCTCTTCTGAAAATAATTTCTGAAGTTATTTTACTATGCTTGCTTTAATGGAAATGTTGGGTGTTGATTCAAAGAGAGGATTCAGGATAAATTACAACATATTTTTTAAAACCAAAGCCTAAGGTAAGACTGCTGTTGGATAGCCACATACCTCTGTCTTTCCTCTCACACCTCCCTAGGTGTCCCTTGGTGACACTATCTAAGGTCGGCTCCCTTGACATTTTTTTTTTTGCGGTACACGGGCCTCTCACTGTTGTGGCCTCTCCCGTTGCGGAGCACAGGCTCCGGTCGCGCAGGCTCAGCGGCCATGGCTCACGGGCCCAGCCGCTCCACGGCACGTGGGATCTTCCCGGACCGGGGCACGAACCCGTGTCCCCTGCATCGGCAGGCGGACTCTCAACCACTGGGCCACCAGGGAAGCCCACCCTTGACATTTGACAGAACCTGGAATACGTTGCACATACAACTGCAGTGATTACAAGCAACACTTGCAGGAGGGGGGGCTAGGACACCTGTCGTGGAAAGAGGCAGGCAGTGTAGCAGACACTCTGACTGGCTCACCCCATCCCCGCTTCCATACTTCCCCAAATTGGTTATACCACACAGTTTTGGCGGGACGGGCATAAGCTCAAGCATGGGGTCCCCACTGACTCAGAGGTGGCCTGAGTCAGATGTTCTCAGCAGAGTGGAGCGTGGGACTTCCATCATGCCTGGGGAAGAAACACCCTGCCCCCTAATTTATGAGCCAGAGAACAGGTACCTTCGTGAGGAACAACCTCCATGCCCAGCAAGCTTGGGGGGTTAGCTGCCTTTGGAGAAGAAATCTGAGTTCAGGAAATAGAACGATTTCCAGAGGATTTCTGTGGTTCTGTTGTTTTCTAAGCCCCTTACAAAGTTACCTCTTTCGGCAAATTCCAACACCGCCCAAGAGGAATTATAGGGAAGCCAAAGTCGTCTACTCCAAGGGCAAAGTCAGCAGAATGCTGATCCTTAGAGGTCTTTATCATGGTAGCAAAGTATTAATGAAAACTAATGAGAAAAGGAAAAGGCAAAACCTAAGACCAAGCACCAGAGAATTTTCCGATTTCTGTTATTTTTTTCCTAATAATTTTTCCTTGCTTATCCTTACACTCAATTTAAAAAGAAACATACCTTTATAAGAGTAAAGCTTTTCTTTAAATTAAACAAAAGAAAAAATATATGTATGTAACTTCATAAAGACTGAAGCTTGAAGTGTCTTCTTAAAGAGAACAGAAAATGGATAAGCAGTGTTTAGAGCTGACTTGTGTCCCTCCAATTCATATGTTCAAGTTCTACCCCCCAGTACTTCAGAATGTGACTGTGTTTGAAAGTAGGGTCTTTAAAGAGGTGAAATGAGGTAAAATTAAGGTAAAATGGGGTCATTAGAGTAGGCTCTAATCCAACATGACTGGTGTCCTTATAACAAGAGGACATTAGGACACAGAGAGTAGGGATGTCGTCTACACAGACGACCATGTGAGGACACAGGGAGAAGGCAGCCGTCTGCAAGCCAAGGAGAGAGGCCTCAGGAGAAACCAAACCTGCCAACACCTTGATCTTGAACTTCCAGCTTCTAGAACTGTGAGAAAACACATTTTTGTTGTTTAAGCCACCCGGTCTGTGGTACTTTGTTACGGCAGCCCTAGCAAACTAATACAGGCAGATGTCTAGAAGTCTGAGCTACCTGTGACATAATCGCATAGAGCCATCCAGAAGGAGGCCAGCTGAGTCTGCAGCTGGGGATGAATAAGTGGGAGAGAGATACACAGACTCAGGACTGGTCAGAATTTCCCTGACAGTTACGGCCACAAGAATGGACGACACCACTAAGAGTGATGGTCAGTTTGACAAGCCATCTTGGCCAGGCTACAGTCTCTGAATATTCAGGCACTTACCAAGGTGCGGCTGTGAAGGTGTTTTGTAGATGTGGTTAAAGTCCATAATCAGTTGACCTTAAGCAAAGAAGATGACCCTAGATGATCTGGTGGGCCTGGTCCAATCAGTTGAAAGGCCTTAACTACAGGGCTGCGGCTTCCCTGAGAAAGAAGAGATTCTGCCTGGGGAGGGCAGCCTGCCTCTCCTGATGCCTGCGCTCGGGGCTGCAGACCTGCCTAGCCAGCCCCGCAATCATGTACGCCAATTCCTTGGAATAAACCCTCAACACACACATCCCCTACTGGTTCTGCTCCTCTGGCTGAATCCTGACTAATACGGAGGGTGTGCAAAGTGAGGACAAAGAGAGCTGAGAACGCTCTGGAAAAGAGGAGCATTTAGAGGAGAAACCCAGCAGATGTGGAAGGAAGTCAAGGAGAAGGTGAGACTGGTCCAGCATGCCGAATCCCCATGGGAGTCAAGGGACAGCCAGGCCGAAACGAGCATCCGGACTGTGGGAGCTTCAGCTCCGGGAGAGGAGTGTCACATCACAGGCACCCCCAAGGTGTTGGTAGGACCCAAGGACGTGGATCAAGGGTTGAGGTAAGAACATCCTACTCCAGGACCACAAACCCCAAAGCCTGGAGAGGGAGGCTGGAGTGCTTAAATTTTAAGGTTTTCAAAGTGAAAGGTTAAAGTACCCTACCATTAGGCAATTATAGCAGTTGCTACACATTAAATGATGAAAATCCTTGAAATACTAGATTATCTTCAGAAGATACTGGACAGCATTCCAGGTGTTCAATTTAATTTAATTATAGTCTAGAATACAGCTGTCTTTTCTTTTCTTTTGGTTACTATAATCTTCCCTCCAATGGAGAGCAGCCCTAAAATTACTAATGACTTAGGAAAACAATGTGCTTTTAAAATATTCCTCCTTCTGTATCTTGTACTCATCACTGATAAAAATCCTGTAAAATGCAATAAGCAATTATGAAAAGCAAGGTTACCAAGCTAGAGACGCTAATTGTAGGTGAAAAGAGCTTTATAATATGTATTCGGAAGCTTAAATGATGGTTTTCAGTTCCGGAGCACAAATGAGGATTCAGAGAGAGAGAGAGAGAGAGAGAGAGAGAGAGAGAGAAAGGGGTGTTTGAAACATTCATGCTACTGCAGGTATTGTTCTTAAAGTTCATAATAAAGAGATATTAGTTCTTCACCCTTTCAATGTCCCTAAACAGCGTGACTTGCAGCCTCCCTTTACTTCACAGGAACTTCTCAAAGGAATCTCAGCTTTGTAGTCACTCTCAAAGGTGCAACTGCAGAGCATTAAGTCTGCCAGAAAGGGAAACTTCTCAAAGAGAATCCAGACAATGTTAGGATTTTTTTTTTTCTCTTGTTTCCTATGTTGCAAGAGGCCCAAAGAGAAATCACTTCACTTACCAGAAAATTTGCATATACGTGGATATCTGTATATTTATTACTGGAAGTTGACGTCAATGTATCCACAAAAGAACAATAAAATCAAACCTTCAGTTCTCACCGTGGAAGATAAAAAGCAAAACAATTTTTGGAACCCTCCAGCAGCTGTACGTTAACAGGTAAACATTAGGTGGTTTGTGCACAAAGGTCACTGGTATTCTAGACAAATAAGATGGCATATCAGTACTAAAAAGGCTCACGGATGGATACCAACAACCCTCAACAGTGTGCTGACTTTGCCTCATAAACCACAACACCAGTCTGACGAGCCACAGGAAATTCTTCAGTGCATTAGGTGGGCATGAATTTTATCTAGAGAAACATTTGCAAAGGGCAAAACGAAGTGCTCCAAACGGGAGCAGGCAACCAGGCAAAAGGCCAGGCAGACGGACCAGTTTCCCTCCCACGAGACACTGACCTTGCCCCTTGCAGGGACACCCCCTGCACTCTCCCTGTCCGTAGGGTTTTCAGTAGGGGTTTGGGGGACAGGGAGGGTCACTCCTAAATCCTCAAGACACCTCCGGCTGCTCGGCTTCGCCCTCTGCGAACCTCGAAGTCCCGCACCAAAAACTCTCCCAGGAAATCTCACTTCGAGGAGGCCACGCTCTGAGGCTTTGAGGAGCCCGACAGAACGGGGTCCCCATTACCGGGCGGGCGTCCCTCCGCGCGTCCTGGTGGCCGGCCCGACCTTCCCTCCCTGCTGCGGCCACTGCGGCGCCCGGACCCCGAGCTCACCGGACGATCACGAACATGACCAGCGAGTTGCCCACCAGGCCCACGACGAACACCACGGAATAGACCGCCGTGATGATGACCGGGATGACCGGCGAGATGTGCTCGGGCTCCGGCGGCGCGTCCTCGGAGCCTGCGCTGCTGTTGCGGTCCGGCTCGGCCCAGCCCGGGAACCGGCCGCTGCCGTTGGGGGGCAGGCAGGTGCTTGGGGCGCAGGTGGAGCCCGACTCGCCGCGGAAGATCTGGACAGGGGGCTCCATGTCGGGCGGCTGCAGCTGCGGGGCGAGGACAGGGGACACCTGCGGGCTGCGGGGGCGAGAGAACCGGCTGGACCCCGGAGGCAAACTTTGGCTGCGCCCGAGCCAGCGCGCGAGGCCGGCGGCGCCGAGGGCCCAGGGCCCGCTGATGCCCACCCCGGGGGACTGGCCTCTGGCTGCCGCCCGCGCCGGCAGACGCGCCGCGGATGCCAGGAGGGGCGGAGAGCGCGCCCGCCTTTCCCCCGGTTCCCAAAATCCGCCACCCTTGGAACCGTCCCCGGACCGCGGCCCGGAGCCCCCAGGGACACGAGATCCCTGGAGCACAGTCCTCGCTCCCAAGCACGGCGCCTCGAAAGCCCAAAGCTCACCTCTGAGCCCAGAGACGCGCGGGGCGACGCAGTGATGCCGGCCCGCGCGGGTCCTCGCGTCCCCGGGTCCGCTCGGCCCTCGGGTCGCCGCGCTCCCGCAGCCCCGCGCTCCGGCCGCGGACGCCTCCCCCCGAGCGCGTCCCCGCCGCTCAGCGCGCGGCTCCCACGAGCGGAGGCGGCTGAGCCCCCGGGACGCAGCGAGGACGCGCGGGCGCCAGGGACCCCGCCCCGCCCCTGCCGGCCCGCCCGCCTGGGCCTGCGGCGCCCCCGGCCCCGCGCGCAGCCTCGGTCCGACGGCCCCCGCCGCCCCGCCGCCTGACAGTGAGCAGGTGGGCGTCGGGAAGGGTGCGCCGGTCCAGGACGAGTCAGCAGCTGGGGTACTCGCCGTGTGTCTAGAGCTGCTGCAGGCCCAGCTCTCAGGACACGTCTGCCTTCAGGTGAGGGAGAAATCGTAATTCTATTTGAGTGGCCCGTCCAAATACAGTAGCGAAATTATGCAATGGGAACGAGACCAAATCACAACATTCAAATGACTGAATATACATACATAGAATATTCTGTCCCTTTCAGCCTCCTCTGTCGGAGACGATGCACAGAACGCACCTTAAGGCAGCACCTGCGTTTCGTGGTGCTACCTGCGGAAAAGCAAGACCCCCGCCTTACTCAGGCCTCGGTGTAGGTGCAGGTAGGTGACCGTGTCTCTTTCTCCCACGTTAATCTCTGCTGCCCTCACGGTCCCTAACTACGGCACCTTTTCTCTAAAACCTCCGAGGGCCTGAGCCCCGCAGAGAAATTCGATCATCCTTCCTTCCGGTGACTCTGCCAGTGCCAGGATCAGGTTCTGCTGGTAAAAGAAACCCTCAGCACAGCGACCAAAAGGTAGGAAAGCCGAGGTCAGCTGGAGGAGGGAAACAGGACTCAGCCACTGAGATGAGGGCCTCAAGGAGACCGGAGAGGTTCCCCTTTCCCAGTTGGGTACTGGCGGCAAGATGCCTGAGTTTCCTGGGAGGACTCCTGTCCAAGACTGGCTGACTTACTGAGACAAACACGGGCCCTCGCTTGCTTCCTACAGATCACATCGGTGCCCACACCTGGGCACCATCATGGCCCATACAGTCATTCCATCCGCTGGCTGACAGCAGAAGGGAACCCCTACCTCTTCCAAGACACTGTGACCCCCAAAGAGGGACGTGCCCACCAGGGTCTTACCCCAGCCTGGAAATGTGCGGCTCTTCTGGGAAGCGTGATATGAGGCCAGCAGCATCCCTTCAACCCTGGTGCCCTAGGAGTCTTGAAATTAAGTTTTGATAAATCTTATATTTCTTTTAAGTCTGACTGCAGATTTTCATTAGAAGATGACATCTGCTTTCACAAAACATCGGAATGCTGTGACCTCCGTGGGTCTGTGGGTCCCTGTCTGTCAGGAAGATGGCAGACACATCTCGAATCTTCTCCAGATGTCTGGGGGCTCACGTCCTGACGGTGGGATCCCAGGCTGCCACCAGAGCAGCCCAGTAAGACGTTTGTTTGAAGTTCACAAAAACTGAGCAGTATCCATGTCAGAAAGTCGAAATAATACATTAAAGGAAAATAACTGAGAAGGGCGTGATTATCCATCTATCATCCTATTACCTGTCTATTTATCTGTGAATTCAGCACTGAGATACAACTGCCTCTGTGCTACACACTTTGAAAGGATGTTGACAATATCTATCCTCCTCTTGCACTTATTTATCACATAGAGGTTTTGTTTGTTTTGGTTTTGGTTTTGGTTTTTGTGCACACACACAGGTGGCTTGCACAGCTGGTAACGTTAGAGCTGGGTTCAAACACAGGTATTTCTGTCTCTTGCCATATGCTGACTGAACAGAATGATTTCATGCAAAGGAGCCTCTCTTCCCCAAAAGACAAAACAATATAGACGGGGATATTTAGCAAGAACAAAAAAGAAGAAAGGGAAGGGTATTACTTGAAAAGATTTAAGGAAAGTTTTGTTTTGTTTTGTTTTTTGCGGTACGCAGGCCTCTCACTGTTGTGGCCTCTCCCGTCGCGGAGCACAGGCTCCGGACGCGCAGGCTCAGTGGCCATGGCTCACGGGCCCAGCCGCTCCGCAGCATGTGGGATCTTCCCAGACCGGGGCACGAACCCGTGTCCCCTGCATCGGCAGGCAGACTCTCAACCACTGAGCCACCAGGGAAGCCCTAAGGAAAGTTTTAAAGTGAAAAACTTTAAAGAAGTGTCCAAAAGTTGGTACAAGTCCAATAATTCAAATTCTTGATCGCCCCTTCCCATATATATATACACACTATATATAGTGTGTGTGTTAGGAGAGATTTTGCTGGAAAAATACCTCTCTAATTAAAACAGAATCCTGGAAAAATACCTCTCTAATGGAAACAGAATGCAGGACTCAGACCCTTCTGTCTTTGGTGAAGGAAGCCTATGAGCTATTGCAGGTGTACACGCTGCACGTGTCTTTTAGACTGCAAAATGATGTTCTAATTTTGGTCGTCGGTAAGAAACCTCTACTAGTTGGGACAGTCTTTGAAGGCAAAAAATTACTAATTATGATAAAAGTAGTTTTGTTTCATCTGAGTACTCCTATTTTTTTTACCAAATTAATGGCCAAAATAAAGTGAAGCCGAAATGGGCAGAGCGTTAAGAAGCCTTTAGGCAGCTCTGGTTGCCAGGAGAATCTGGCCTGTGTCTCTGGACACAGAGAGGAAAGCTACCTACTCCGTGGAGTCAGGTTGACATGAAATGTTTTCATGCTCTTGGAGTAAAGCTTATAAAATAGGAAGGAAAAAGAAGCTGTTGGCACTCCGCACCCTGTTATACGCTGATGTGAAACAGGTTATTGAACTTACTAGCACTTTATCCCCACCTGCCATTCTGCTCGATGCAAACGCTATGTTTATAACTACAAGTAACGCTCTTGTAAAGCTGAGCGTGTGTTCAGTGATTTTTATTGATTGGTGCTACGAGCATCTTGGGTGATGGGTGCTTTGGCATTTCTATCACATAGACTAGAGAACCCACCAGCAAACTGTGTCAGTTTGCTTTCTCATGTCTCCAACGGTAGACAGAAACCTGCAATGGGTGTATAGCTGAAGGGAGCAGTTTCATTTGCGTAGACCCTGGGTGCAGCCAGTGCAGCCTCCAGAAAGCCAGAATGCAGCACCCTCCAGGTCACTTCACTCCTCAGACGTTGCCCAATGCCCCCAAGCGGAAGATGACGAAGAGGGAGGATTTTGAGGGTCCAAAAATAAACAGGGCAAAGGCAGTCCCTTCCCAAAGAGGATGTGCAATCTGGTGTGAGAGACAGATCGAATTTTTTTTACCTTTATGAGTAATTAATTAATAACAAACACAGCTAACCCTGGTAAGTGTTCTAGAGGAAAAGTGTTTAATAAAACAGACAAGCTGACAGCCAAGGCAGCAAGTTTGTGCGAGATGAAAAATGGCGCCCCTTCCTCAAGACACTTTACTAATTAATGTCTGTCAGCAAATTGCCATGTTAAGGATTCAAGTCCCCTTCTGTCTCTGGCGTGAAGGAAGCCTGTGAGCTATTGCAGGTGTACACGCTGCACATGTCTGTAGGGACCGTGAAGACCGGGCATCAGGGACCCCGACTGAGTACGAAGTGGCGTCGAAGCTGACATTGGAAGACTGTGTGGCAGTTCCCCAGGTGAAGGGGAAGAAAGGGACCATCCTCAGCAGGAGCCACACCTGTGGCGGCCGTGATGGGCAGGAGAGGACACATACGTGGGCCTGCGGCGGGGGGGGGGGGGGGTGTGTGTGTGTCAGGGAACCTGAGTCTGGGGACCGGGGAGGTGTGACACCAGATAAAGGGGCAGCCGAGGCCCAGATCACGCTGGGCTCTCACAAACACTTGGATTTCAGCCTAAGAGCAACAGACACTGGAGGATATCAGGCGGGGGCGGGTGGCATACTCAGATCTGGGGTTTTTGAAACATCACTCATCTTTAATGAGTAGAATGCATTGGAGAGACAAGAGCAGATGTGGGGAGCTTCACACTGAATCAGCATCAACACTGTTATAACCAAAGGGCATCTTGACGCACCCCATACCTGCGTGTTATGCAAGTGAAGACTTTCCCATGGTCACAGAGCAGGGATTTAAACCTGAAACTTCCTGCACTGAAATTCTTGATCAAAATGAATCCATGGATCTGTAAATTCAGTGCCACTCCCACGTCAGGCCCTAGGTTGTGGAGTGAGAGAAAGTCTGGCAACACAAAGCAACACGTGGCATACAAGACTGGTTAGTCCAAAGGACTAACTGGACAGAATTAGTGCAAAGGCGTCAGGACTACCCCCGGTCTTAGAGGAAAAGTGGGCGTCCAGGCAGGGACCGGCGCCTGAACAAGATTTACCAGGAAGAAAAGGCAACGGAAACATTTATGCCGAGGTGTGAAAGCTGGGCCGTGGTGGTCGTGTGTCTGCAGTGTTACCAGGGCGATGGTGCTGAGGTGAGAACCACAGGAGGTTGGAGGGAGACAGACGCAAAGAGGCCGCCGGTGCCCAGACGGCGGGGCTGGGCTGGGGCTTGAGTGGCCTGCAGGATGGAGGTGGTGGGGGTGGGACCGCGGGGGCCGTGTTGGGGGAGAGAGCAGTGCTAGAGCTGTCGTCATGGTCTAGTTGAGGGATGATCCAACGCTAAAGCAAGGCGATTGCTGAGAGAGCAGCGAGGAGATGATCGTTTTGAGAACCGTTTAGGAAATTAGATTGGCAAGGCTCGTGGTTTGAATAAACATGGAAGCTAGGGAGGAGGATAAGCCTAGACTTACTTTAGGCTTGTGCTTGGGTGACCAAGGGCAGGACGGTACCGTTAACTGAAACAGGAAATACAGGAGCAATCACAGCAACTTGGGGAGAACGTCACGAGCTCAGGTTCTGCGAGGCTGTGTTTGAGGCGCGGGTGAGACGTGAGTGTGTGTATGTGATGTAGGGCCCTCTACTGCTGGGAGCGTCCGTGCTGGAGAGATAAGGGGCAGGTAGAGCCAGGGGCGGGAATAAGGGCACCAAGGTGAGCATGGGCAAACACCAAGCTAATGAGAAAACGCTACAGAAACCACACCATTTAAT